AGCTCCCTGGGTGAAGAAATGAATAGAATGCTTTTCACACCATTGCAGAGGTTCCGGAGGTTGAGGGGTGAGGCCTGTCGGGAAACAGGTGAGCTGGCAGATGCAGCTTCCAGGTGTGGCCACGGGTCCTGGCAGTGGGCAGAGAGTGTGGGCTTGGACTGCTTGATACTGGAGAAGACAGATTCTCAGTGGCCCGTTGCTCATGGGAGGTGTGGAAGGAAGAGGATGAGAACACTCAAGGCCACAAGTCCCAGTCCTGCAGGTCCATGCTGTGTGCAAGGCCCAGCTGGCCTCATTTTTAAGGCATCTGACCTGTCCTAATGGGATCCTAGAATGGGAAGGGAGAGTAGGCACACAGAGCTGAGGAAGGTGGTGGACCCCAGTCACTCTGGACTTGTGGCTCTTGGCTCTGCTGCACCATGGGGACTTCTGGGCAGCCTTGGGAATCCTGATGCCCAGGCCACACACCTCCTCCCTGTTTCAGGATCTCTAGGGGTGGGCCCCGGTGAGTTTGATGCCCAGGCAGGATAGAAACCCACTGCTTTTGTCTCTAGTCCAAGGACTGGTGGGGGCAGAACTAGGCACCACGGGGCACGAGGTGACTGACCAGGTCTGAGGCCTGACGTTTCCCCTGCGCACTGAGGAGCACAGGGCCAGGATTAGTTAACAAGGAGTCCGAGCCGGTCCCCACCCAGGACAGCCCCCGACCTCCATGGGCACTTGCAGCAGGGACTGGGGTGGGGAAGGAGTGCTACAGAACAGGGCTGGGAGCATGTGGCACCCCAGGACACAGCTCCTCATGTGCACAGACAGCAAGCCATTCCTTCCATTTGCTCCCTGAGAGCTCTCAGTTTGTACTGGGGTTTTGATTGACTGCGTGTTCCCAGAAGGGCACTGCCACAGAGATACCATTAAAAAATAGTCATACTCTTGGCGTGGGACCGGTCCTCACAGGGAGGCCTCCTTCCCTGTCAACTCTCCGGAGCTTGGCGGTTCCTGGGAGACTGATGTGGGCATGATCTCTGGAGGGGCAAGGTAAGAGTCTGTATGTGACAGACACTGAGGGGTGGGGACTGCCCAAGGCCACACAGGGTAGAGAGGCTTGAATTGAGGTTCCTTCCCTCAGTGTCCCCTGCTCTTTYACTCCCCCAAGACTCCTGGACACAGGCAAGAGCTGAAGTCCCCCCGAGGACTGGGAGACCCCTGGCAGGCCTCCTCCTGCCACCTTGGGAGAAGAGGGGCTCRAGGTTATCTGGTCACAACATGGTTCCTTTCTGGATGGAAATATGTTTGAACTCRGGAATTAAGGGGGCTCTGGGAAGGGGTTAACCTCATTTCCTCAGACGTGAAAACCATCCTTGGCAGTGGGAAGCGGCAGATTTGACTCTGGATGACTAACGCCCCTTGCGGGGGACATATACCTGTCCTCACGTGCCCCTGGCAGGGATTTAAAGTGCTCTGCAGCGTTTCCCCGAATCCTAAATCAAGTCTAYTCATCCCGGCACTGGTGACGCCTGAGAGCGGAGGGGTTTATGTTAAATCGCCCTCTCTGGGCTCCTGCTCCCAGCCCACAGTCACAAATTCCCGGTAATGAGCGAGGCTGAAGAAGCCGTGACAGCGCTGCACGCTAAATTAAGAGTGGGGCCCAGCGCAGGGGAGTGTTTGCTTTGGCTGTGGTGCCTCCTGGGCTCCGTGTTGCCTGGCAGGGTGGCCTGATAAGTGGGCAGCGCTGGGCAGTGGGCCCCGGGCCACCTGCTGGCCTTCGTCCTGACTKCGGGCAAGGGGCTCCTCTTCACCCCCTCTGTGGCTTCCTTTGCAGCATCCCCTCATCTCCCCTTTGTCACTTAGAAACCAGAATTATTATCTATTTTTTCCCTTTAAGACTGAAAATTGGATCCTGGGACTTTTGTGTTTGGATGAATTACTTCCCGGCTTCAGGGTGGGTGGAGKCACAGTCACCCCTGCACCCATCCTGGTCCCTTTTCTTGAGGACAAGAGGTCGACTCCCTGTAGCAGAGTGGGCACATCTTGGTGGCAGTAACTTTTTGAGACCCCATTGCCCAGTGCAGGGAGCAGCAGCCTGGGCTAGCCTGCCTCTGCCAGGCACTAGCTGGGTTGCTGGGGCAGGTTCTTTGACTTCGAAATGTCTTTGTCTCCTGTGGTCAAAGGGGGAAGGTATCTGGACTCTGGATGCCGTGTAGGAGTGTGGAGAGCATCCGATGAGATCAGGTAACTTGAAAGACCACAAATGGCAATTCGCCATCGAGGTTCTGGTGAACGTGCCCCTGGCTGCCGTGTCTGCACGGTCAGGGTCAGCGCCCCAGGAAGACGCCATGCTGACAGAGACCTTGGGCTTGCACCTGTTCCTCTGAGAGAGCTGGATTACATCTCCCTGATGTGAACTTGACTGCTCACTCGCAGGCCTCTTGCGGGGAGGGATGGAGATTGACCTCTGGAATCTGTGACCAGGGAGGGATCCAATGGCGGCCCCTTCCTCCTGATGACCCGGAGACGGCCTCTGCTCACTTTCTCAAGGAAGTTTCTMCAGCAGTCTCCCCTGTTCCCCACAGCACCCGCTCCTCTCCCCACGGCCACTCCTTGACATGTCTTCCTAGTCCCCACTTACAGTGAGCCAGACCCACCCCTGGCCTCCTGCCTCCCTTCAGCTCCAGCCTTACCCTCTGTCCTCCGCTCAGCTGGCCTCCCTGGGGGGTTGCCTCTGCTCACTGCCTCAGCTTCCTCCCCTCCATTCTTTCCTCACCAGACCCAGGTCCCACAACTACTGTCCGTGACATTCCAAAGGGCCAGTGGTCAACACCTGCCCTTCCTCGCTCAACCTCTCAGCACAGTGGACACTATAAGCATCTCTCCTTGGAAGCCCTTCTTCTCCAGACCTCCTGAGGCCACACACCTCTCGCCTGCTGTCCCTGCTCAGACTCTGGAGGTGCCTTCTCAGGGTCTCAGCTTCCTCCCCACCTTGCAGGGTTGGGGCTCCCCAGGGCCGTTCCCTAACAATGGGATCAGCTCTGTACACTCCTCAGAGGAGACCCCAGCCGGCCTCCTGCTCGGCACACTCCAGGCACGATGGCTCCCTATTTCTTCTTCTAGCCTTGGTTCTCTCTTGAGCGCCTCGTGCTCTGCGGCCTCCTCAGCGTCTCCTCTGGGATGTCAGTGGCAGCCCACCAGAACTCTGCAAGGCTCCCACCCTTCCCTCTGACATCTCCTCGCCTCTCCCACCCCAATAAACAGCTCCACCATCCTCTTAGCTGAGCAGATGGAAAGGGCAGGAGATGCCTGACTTCCCTTTCCCCTTCCATCGCGTGTCCAGTATCCTGGTGGCTCTCGCCCCTTGCCTGCACCTTTACAGTCTTTGCCTGTAGCTGGTCGACTCCTGGTCTGCATGGTGGCCAGGGCAGGCTTTCTAAGGCGTCTCTCAGATCCCATCACTCCCATGGTCACAACCCCCCAGGGGACTCCCGTGTACCTGGATAACATGGCCCTGCTCTGGCTCCTGCCCTCCAGCCCTCAGGCCTCCTTCCCTCCGAGCCTTTCCACCTTCTGCTCTTCTGCTTGGACTGCGGCTCCAGATTGTCACATGGCTGCTGTCCTCATTATTCAGCCACGAGTTTAGGGTTCTCCTCTCCTGAGAGGCCTTCCCACCCACAGTCTTCTGAGCTGCTGTCCGCGACACTGTCTCACATCACCTCCTCTGTCTGTTGACGCGCTCATGGCTTATCTCCTGCACCCCCACAATGTCAGTTCTCCAGGGCGGGACTCGACTTTTCCTGGTGTCGTCCCAGCACTAGCAGTGGAACCTGGCATACAGGAGGTGCCTAATAGATAGTGTTTGTTGACCGACTGGCTGCTCACTGTTGTTCAGAGCCCGACATGTATCATCACAGTATTTTAGGCACCGATGGGCCTTCGAGATCACCAAATATGATTTCCTTCTCTTTTTTAGACAAGGAAGCTGGGGATGAGAGAAGGTCAAGATGTCACAGCAAGTTGGTGGCAGTGTTGGGCTGTCACAGGCCTCAGAAAAGACCTGATGAGGTGCCAGTGCTGCTGTTCCTGGTGGCAAACGCAGCACAGGAAGCAGGCTGGTGCCCAGGGAGGGTGCCCGCCTGCTCCTGGAGAGGATGGCAAAGGCCGACCTGGGTTGTGGTGCTGTGACATGTGCAAACCATAGAGAGCAGTGCAGCAGCTGAGGCGGCCTCTGAGCAGGTGTGAGCCACGAGAGCCAAGCCTTTCCTGTCCCGCTGCTGTGGTTTGAGTTTGCACAGGTCCATGTGTTGGAGGCCTGCTCTCAGCGTGGTGGTGCTGGGAGTGGGGCCTCGGGGGAGGCCCGTAGGTCCTGGGTCTGCCCTCAGCAGGGAGTAAGACTGTCCTGGGGGCCTTGAGCTAGTTCTTGAGAGCGAGTTGCTATAGACAAGCCTGACTCTGTCTCTGGGCCTTGTGTGTGAGCCCTCCCTGTCACTCCGGTCCACCATGAGGTCTTCACCACAGCTGAGCTGATGCKAGTGCCATGTCCTGTAACTGTCAGTAGAATGCATCTCTTTTCTTTATGGAGTTTCCCAGTCCCAGGTATTTTGTTTCAGTAACACACACTGTCAAGGTGGGGCTCCTTTGGCACGGGAAGGCAATGCTGAGCCTGTCTAGGAGCCTTTGGATTATGGGGTAAGGCTAAGACTAGTGCAGGGCTGGAGCAGGAGGCCCTGGGCCTTGTCCCTGGGGCATGGAATGCAGGAGAAGTGGCCTGTCCACAGCAGATGGAGATGGTCAGCTGCTGAGAGGAAGGGGGCAGGCCAGTGACAAGGGCCAGGAAGGGCCTTCTCCTTGTCTTCCTGTCGTCTGTCACGCCACACGTTTCCTCCATGACTGATGCAGTGGCCTGGGGTCTGGGCCCTCAAGTGGTGTTTACATCCACACTTGTTGGCAAGAACCCCGCTCCAGGAGGAGAGCGAGAGTTCCAGCCGGGGATTCCACAAGCCACCACGCACCACTCAGGCCCTTCCTGTTTGGAGAAGGCTGGGCAGGAGAGAGAGCCGCCTTCAGGGACAGGGAACAAACGGAGCGGAAGGCCTGGAGAGGGAGAGGCTCTGCCAAGTGGGCTCTACTGCACTCCGGCCTGTTTGGGCCGCTCTCGTCCCTTCTCCAGGGGGAAGCAGAGGCCAGCACGTGGGAGGGGCCCAGCCCAGGACGCTTCCTGCTGCCTTCCCACCGGGCTGTCCACTCCAGCCTGCCCATGCCGCCCCCATGCTGGTGAGCAGAGCAGGACTTTCCCAAACCCACCTCTTTTTACCCAGCTCTTTTTGCACCCACCTTAGATGTGACATCTTTAAGGATGTCCCCACAATACATATACACTCCCCCACCATGGTCTAGCTAGTTGCCCCCAAGGGAGCACTTAGTTGCCCCGGGGAGCACTTACATTTCTTCTGCAGAATGTTCTGCCTGGCCTTGAGGAATGCCAGGATGTCAGAGTCCGTCTGGCTGTCTCCGGTGAGAGGGACAGACGAAGTTGTCCTCTCAGGGATGCTGGGGACAGTGACATGTYGCACTTTACTACTCCTTACGGTGGGACTCAGCATTCAGTTTTCCAAAATGYGTTCCCATTTGTGGGGAGTAACTCTCACCAGGTGCGTGTGACACCCTGCCTCCTTCTCCCTCCCTCCCACCTTCTGCACAGCCACTCCTGTCCTGTTATCAAGCACATTGGGTCATGCACTCCCTGGCTTAGACTCCTCTCATGACTTCTGGAGTAAAATTCAGATTCTATCCAGTGACCTTCCAGATCCTGCGTGTGTTCGGATCCCCCACCACTGTGCCCCCACACTACCCTGGGGCCACCTTGACCCTCTTCCTTCTTTTTGCTACTGGATATGTGAAGCCACATCCAGCTTCAGGGCCTTTGCCTTCATCATCTCCTCTTCTTCACCTCCGTCTCCATCCCTCACCTCCACACCTGTCCTCATCCTGGACTTTCCCAAACCCACCTCTTTTTACCCAGCTCTCTTTTTGCACCCACCTTAGATGTGACATCTTTAAGGATGTCCCCACAATACATATACACTCCCCCACCATGGTCTAGCTAGTTGCCCCCAAGACTGAGATCAGTAATCTCCTGTATCTTCCCAAAAAACAGAACCATGTTTAGCTAAGTTAGTACAAAAAAAAGCACGCCTCCCCACAATCCTTTGCAGCTCAGTGTGGCCAGGGAGGTTCGTGAGCAGAAGCTCWTGTGGGATTTTCAGGGAATCCCTTATAAAGAGAGGGAGGTCTGCACCCTTCCCCTCCTCTCTCTCCATTCAGCCTTCTAGATTGCTCTAAGAAAAGTCAGAGTGGCACACTCCCCTGGCTGTGCCMGTCTTCAGCCCGACCGACCCGTCACTCCACAGGGCACTGGATGGCACCACTGCCTTAGAAGGCCGGGAGGGCTGTTAACAAGGCCCGTCCATGATCATGAGTGGTTCTGGGTGTGGGGATTTCAGCTGCCGCTCAGTGAGGGGCCCTGCACCAGGAGCTGCTGGCCATCCTGGGCTCGGGAGGGGAGGGACCGTGGTGGGGTTCTGCCTTGGGTGAGCGCTGGGAGAGGAAGAGGCCTGCCAGGTGAGTGGGCGCTGTAGTCCTGGCCACCAAGAGCACACACAGGCCAGGAGCCTTAGCTTCTCTGTTCAGTCCCCAAGCAAAAGGCTTCTGGCTGGGGCCAGGCACCCAGCTCTGCTTTGGCAGAGGGCCTGGTGGGTTTGGTTGGAACTGCCCTCGGCTGGCTCCTCTTTCCTGTGTGACTTCAGGTACATTCTTCACAAGGAACTGTGAAGCACCTCTGCTGGACAAGGACCCGGTGCCCTGGGAGAAAACTCCCCAGCTTTGGGAATCACAAAGCATGAGAGATTCCATGGGATCCCCGGGGGACAGGACGGAGGCCAGCCCTGGGCTCCATCTGTGAATGTGACTTTTACTGCAGAAGCCGCCGCAGGCCTCGAGAGGGAGGGAGGCCACCGACCTGCCTTCCAGCCAGGTGCCAGTGCTGCTCGGCTCGGGGCTGCACGGGCTGGGGCAGGGCGAGGGCGAGACTTTTCTGCCACTCAGGACACTGCAAAAAACGACAAAAGCCAAAGTTAGAGGGGATAAGAAGAGAATGCAGGGGCTGGGGATGTGGCTTAAGCAGTCACGCGCTCGCCTGGCATGCGCGGGGTGCTGGGTTCGATCCTCAGCACCACATACAAATAAAATAAAGATGTTGTGTCCACCAAAAACTAGAAAATAAATATTAAAAAAATTCTCTCTCTCTCTTTAAAAAAAAAAAAAGAAGAGCAATGCAGGGTTAATGTTGTTTATATCCAGCGGCTTTTGTGAACTGGGTGTCCTCCCCACATGCCTGTGTTGAGGTCCCACTCCCCAGTGTAACGGCGTTTAAAGGTGGGGCCTTGGGGGGTAATTAGGTTTGGGTGAGGTTTGAAGGTGGCCCTCAAGATGGGGTTAGTGTCCTTATGAGGAGGGAGGGGGAGGCCAGAGCACTCGGCCTGAGTCTCTCCCTGGACACTACGGGGAGGAGGTGTGTGCCAGCCAGAAGGGGGCCCTCAGCAGGACCAGATCTGCTGTGCCACAGAGTTTCTATGTGGAACCCGCCCCAGGGGGATGGGATCAGGAGGCCGGGCCTTTGAGATCAGAGAAAGCCCTCGTGAATGGGGTTAGTGACTTTATAAAATAAATCTCAGAAGCACTGGCCCCTTTTCCTATGTGAAGTCCTTTACCAGACACCAAAATTGCCAGTGCCTTGGTCTTGGGCTTCCCTGCCTCGAGAACTGTGAAAAACAAATGGGTGCACAGCAATGGTCTCAACCACTTGGGAGGCTGAGGCGAGAGGCTGGCAAGTTGGAGGCCAACCTTGGTGGTTCAGTGAGACTTTGTCTCAAAAATAAAAAATAAAATAAAAAGAACAGGGAGTGTAGCTCAGTCATAGAGCATCCCTGGGTTCAATCCCCAGGACCCCCCTCCACATGCACACACAAATACATATAAACCAAAACCCAAAATACATATAAACCAAAACCCAAAACCCCAAACCCCAAAAGAAGAACCAAACAACTGCAATAACAACAACAAAACCCAAATGAGCCAACCCAGTCTCTGGGATTCTGCTATAGAGCCCGAGCAGACGTGACTAAGTGACAAGAATCCTGTCTGGGGTGGCTTGAACGCTGATTTCATTGTTGGCCACAGAAGGTGAACAGCAGGCAGTGGAGACGGTCACTGTTTACATGCCAGGCCTTGCCAGGGTGCTCGGGAATTGCCGTGCCATTCAGTCCTCTCAGTGGTCAGAGGAGGATGTCATTATCCTAATTCACAGATGAGAAAACTGAGGTGTAGGGYGAAGCTAGGAAAATTCCAGTAGGTGGTAGCATCTGGACCTCGTCATGACTGCGAGGCCCAGGCCTGAGCTAGCTCCACACTGGCTTTCCCCTGGCCACAGGGACCACCCCACGTGGCCTCAGCTGCTGACTCTGTGCTCCTGGAGTGAGAAGTCACATCTGACGGCTCATCAGGTGCACTGGGCCCCTTTATCATGGTGGCCTGAGTGTTGGCTTGCCTTGGATTCCTGGCTGCAGACAGAGGAAATCAGGGGCCCCTCCTGGGTGCAGACGAGGTGGGGGCCAGTTATTCTAGTTACTCTGCCCTGCTCTAAGCTGTGCTATAAGCCCCCAGAGATGGAATTCTCTTCCTTGCTCTGGGATGGTCCTGTGTAGAGACCATAGCAGAGCTCAAAGAGACCTAAGAAGTCACATGGGACATACTTGGGGAGGCTCGGGCTGAGTGTCAGGCCAAGGACAGACSGGTGAGCTGGCCTTGCCAAGCCTACATGGTCAGTCCAAGGCACTCGGCAGGCCTGATGACCCAGGTGTCCCACAGGTGAGTGGAGACACTGCCCAGCTCCTCTTCCACCTTCTCCTCCAACCTCAGCCAGTAGCAGGGCTCTGACTCTGGACTCGGGACAGTGGGTCAAACAAACAGGAAGAAAATCAGAGCCTGATCCCTGCTCCTCCCACTAGTGCTCATTTCCTAGCAGTCTGGAGTCTCCCTGGGGCACCCTGGAGAAGCTGGGTCTGTGCTGTGTCGGGCGAGGGCTACTGCAGGACTGGAGGCAGCCACCAGGTGGCAGGCTGTGCGTGTTTGCCTTTGGAGAACAGTGGCCAGTTCCCAGGGCTTCCGAGCGGTTTCTGGTGCCAGCCTGGTGGAGGGAAGGAGAAAGGGTTTTCCATCTTGCAGATGTTTCAATTACAGCAGGCCAAGGTCAGTGCGGAAAGTGTAGCAAGTCTGCAAGACCAAGTCGTTGGTACACAAATGGCTCATTGGCTCCATGGCTTCCAGTGGAGTCTTTGTAGATTCCAGGGGGAGTTTATAGATGTCAAATTGTGGAGGGTTGGGAGTGGGTAGAAGAGGAGGAGAAATGGATAAGGGCAGGGCAGAAGGGTGCGATGGCACCGAGGCAGATGAGGACATGCAGCAGCCCCTGCAGAGGCTAGCCATGTCCTGCAGGAGGACACACGGCACCATGTGCAGGCCTGGGGTTCCTGAGGGAGTGACTCCCCACCTCCTAAACTGCTGGAGTATCCCTGGGGGCCAGGGCTCAGTTTCTTGACCCTCAGGAGTGTGCCACTGAATTCATTTCTCATGCTCTCTCTCCTGGAAAGGGAGCAGATCAGCTATCAGGATGAATTATCTCCTTAATAAAAATTAATAAACAACTCTTTCTCTTCAACGAGGCTCCCGAGCGCATGCAGAGATGCAGATCTTTGTGAAGACCCTGACAGGCAAGACCATCACCCTCGACGTTGAGCCCAGTGATGCCATCAAGAATGTCAAAGCGAAAATTCGAGACAAGGAGGGCATCGCACCTGACCAGGTGGAGGACGGCTGCACTCTCAGGTTACAACCTCCAGAAAGTCCACCTGCACTTGGCGCTTCACTTTCGAGGTGGCATCACTGAGCCTTCCCTGCGCACTTGYCCAGAAGTACAGCTGTGACAAGATGATCTGTCACAAGCGTTAAGCCCGCCTGCACCCCTGTGCTGTCAGCTGCTGCAAGTAAAAGTTGGCTACACCAGCAACCTCCGYCCCAAGAAGGTCAAATAAAGCCCCTCCACTGGCTCCTTTCCCCAAAGGGTGGCCTCCTGTCCAAGCCCCATGCATGGCCTTGGGTTCTCAATAAAGTTTCCCTTACGTTGATTGGARCAGTAAAAAAAAAATTAATAAGCAATGTTGATGATACTTAGGCTTCTTGTGTTGCCAGGGTGTTTAGTATGGTCAGCCCTCAGGACCTGGACGCCGGGCTTTTGGAGGCTGGTGGGAGGACCAGCTCACTGGCCTGCAGAGCTTGTGTAGAGAACAGCCGCCATGGAGTTCAGGTGAACACAGTCGCTGGGCTCTTGCTCTCTTTGCAGAAGCTTTTTAATGGCGCTGAATGTTCATCTGCTCGTGGAAGGATAATGTAGAGCGACCCTGGTGCGTTTTACAGATGAGGCCAGGGAATTGCAGAGTGGGGAGCTGCCTTGCCCAAGGCTGGGCTGCTGTGGCAGAGTCCCTTTGTCAAAGTCTTAGTGRTCAAACTCCTCGGAGGTGACACCTTGGAGGCCTGAGGCCCTCAACGGCAGGGTCTAGGGTCTCTTGGCGAGCATGCCCAGGAGCAGTCTTGGAATACCTAGGGGACACCCAGGAATGGCTAGCAGAGCAGGCCCCCCGCAGGCCAGGAGGAAGCTGGCGAGGGGCAGAAGCCAGGAGGCCAAGCCCTGGGGCTGGCGCTTAGACCCGCCCCACCACGGCCTGCAAAGGTGGCTGCAGAATGGACAAATGGACAAGCTGTACAGAGTGGCCAACAGGRAGCAGGCCAAAGGGCAAGACTCTCAGGAAGAAGGAAGGAGAAGGGAAGGAAAGGTGGGGGTGAAGGGAGGGCTGGAAGAGAAGGAAGGGGACAAGGAGTGCAGCAGAAGGGGCACAGGCAGGGAGAGCAGGGTGGAGGGCCGGAAGGACGGAGGGAGCAGGCCACTAGATGTGGAGTTTGAAGCTCTGTCTCAAGGACAGAGTTAATAATAATCCCATTATTTTCTGGGGCCTTGGTTTCTTCATTGGTAAATGAGGGAGTTGATTTCAGAGTTTCTCACTGAAATGGCGAGGAGCCAGTGACAGGGGCGTGGCTTCCCAGTTCTTCAAAGGCCACCTTCTAGGGACATACAGGATGGCTCTTTGAAAGTCCTGGCCCCTGGGAAATCAGCTGGTGGGGACACCTTGAAGGAGTGAGGCCCCCAGCCGGGGCCTGGCACGGCGGGATATTAGTTTGTGTGAAATATTACAAGAGGTGGACGAGAAAGTGACAAGTCTACTAGGCACGCTGTACGCTTGCCCCTCACGGGCAGTCGTTAATGCTCAACAAAACWGGTGTCAGAAGTGAGGACGGTGACGAGACTCGGACAGGCCTGGCTTTAGTCCTGGCCTCTCTGCTAATTGGCTGGGTGGCCCTGAGCAAGTTACTTAACCTCCCTGAGGCTGATTTTCTCAACGACTAAATGGGGAACAATCCTGACACTGCACAGCCATTCCGTGCCTGGCCATGAGGGCCTCAGCAAGTGACAGTGGGTGTCACTACGGTAAGAGGAGGGCCATGCCAGCTGCTGGGGGTCCTCCCTGGCTGGCTGTTCAGAGTGAGCCGCCCCAGGACAGGGTCTCTTCCCGCCTCGGCTCTGGGTGGAGCTTGGTGGGCTCTTTATTGCCACTATTCTGAGCCAGTGGCGGTGGCTTCTTACTCAGAGGCTGAGCCAAGTCTTCTCCCCCTGCAGCCTCCAGCAGGGACACTGTCCTCTCTCCTCTCTATGTGACCTTCCCACTCACCTGTCCTCAAACTATCCTGTCCTCAAACTACCGTGGTGGATGGGGACTGGGGGAGCTGACCCTCAGGATGTCTGAAACACTGGTTAGGACACTTCTCTGCTGAGGGTCACAGTTCTCAAGCAGAGCCCCAGCAGCCAGTGCAGGTGACAAGGCCCCAGGCCCCACCTGAGAGCCGTCCTCTGGGCGCCTCCCAGGCCGTCAGAGCATGGGAGCCCAGGAAGGGGATTCTGGGAGACTCACAGAAGAGCTCCTGCGGGTGGTCCCAGGTGAACCGTGGAAAGCCAGGGCGTAGGGGTTTCCTACCTTATAACCCCAGGCCAGATGGGTGCTCATTGGAACCGTCCCGACACCTCAGCCCACCCTCATTTCACTGTCTGTGAAGCCACAGAACAAAGAGCCGGGGCTTCCTAGGGGCTGAACAGGGTATTCCTGGCCCTAGGAGAGGGGGCTCCAGCCTCCGGGCTGTGGGGGAGCTTGTCCTCAYAGGCCACAACAATACCCGGGGGGCTCTGTCCTCTGTGCTGGGCTTTCAGATGTGTTTTGTGGAGGCCTGGGGTTTCAGGGAGGAGTTCTGGATGGGGACAGAGGTTGGCAGACACACAGGGTGCAAGGGAGCACCTAGAGGGGCCAGGTACAGGGCACAAGGCTGGGCTGCCTCTCCCGCCCGGGCAATGCAGGTGCCTAGTGACGCTGCCTTTTCCATTTTTTAAACTAATAGACTAATTTTTTTTTTTTTGGTACCAGGATTGAACCCCAAGGATGCTTAATCACTGAGCCACACCCCCCGCTCCTTTTTGTATTTTATTTAGAGACAGGGTGTTGCTGAGTTGTTTGGGGCTTTGCTAAGTTGCTGAGGCTGGCTTTGAACTAGAGATCCTCCTGCCTCAGCCTCTGGGGCCACTGGGGTTAAAGGTGTGTGTCAGGGCACCTGGCAATAGACTATTTTTAAGAGAAGTTTTAAGTTTATAGAAAATTGAGCGACACTACAGCATTCCCAAACACGGCTTTTTATCCGCCCGCCGACACGATTTTTCCACCACTCTAACCTCTGGCATTGGTGTGGCTCTTTGTTACAGGTGGCGAACCAGGGCTGACGAGTTAGCATTGACCAGAGTCCACAGGTGACACAGGGGTCTGCTTTTCGTGCTGTATAGGTCTATGGATTTTGACAAGTACCATCGATCCACCAATATCCTGTCTTCCCGAATAGTTGCGCATCCCTAAACATCCGGCCTCTGTCTGTCCATTCTTCTCTCCCCCGGGGCTGGGGCAGCCACTGATGTCTCAGCAAGTCGGTAGTGTCCCTTCCCCAGGTGTCATCTGGCCAGGCTCCTCTAGCGGGAGCCTTTCCAGGAGGCCTTCTTCGGCTAAGCAGTTTGCAGGAAAGCTTTCTCCGTGTCTTTTCACGGCTTGGTAACTCTTTTTATTGCTGAATAATACTCTTTGTCTGGATGTAGCTCAGTTCATCATTCTTCTTTTGGAAGACTTGGTGGCATTCACTTTTTGACAATTATGAATAAAGCACCTATCAATAAGCATGCCCAGGTTTTCCCCACATTTCTTATTGGCGTATGATAGTTGTACATAATGGTGGGATTTGTTGTTAATATTTGTACATGTGCAAAATATTTCAATATAATTTAGCCAATATCATTCCCCATCTCCTCCTTCCCCTCCTCTCCATCCTCCTCCCTGGGGCCTTTCCTCTAGTCTACTTATCTCCCTTCTGATTTTCATGAAATCCCCCCACTTTTCTTTTCCTTTGTCCTCTCTAGTGTCCACATATGAGAGAAAACACATGACCTTCGACCTTCTGGGACTGATTTATTTCGCTTAACATAATGGTCTCAAGTTCCATCCGTTTTCCTGAAAATGACATTTATTTTCATTTTTTTATGGCTGAATAATCATGATTTTTATCTGGATGTAAGTTKTTAACTCATCTGGGTGAAGACCTGGGAGTGCCATTGCTGGGTTGTAGGGTATCCCTATATTTAGCTTTGCAAGACTCTGAGAAACTGTCTTCCAGAGTGAAGGTGTCATTTTGCATTCCCATGGGCAGTGAATGGGAGGTCCTGTTGCTCCATGTCCTCAGGAGCTTCGCTGTGGTCAGTGTTTTGGATTTTGGTCTTTCTCCTCTGTGTTAGTGGCACCTCACTGCTTTCSTGTGAACTGCCTCGTGACACCTCGTCATACACCTATTTGCCATCTGTAGATCATTTTTTGGCAAAGAGGCTGTTAAGATCTTCTGCTCATGTTTTTTYGGGTTGTTTGTTTTCTTATTGTTAAATTTCAGGAGTCCTTTATATATTTTGGATAGAAATCCTTTATCAGATACGTGTTTTGCAGATATTTCCTTCTCATCCGTGGCTTGTCTTTTGATCCTCTAAACAGTGCCTTTGGCAGAGCAGCATTTTAAAGTTCAATAAAGTCCAAGCAAGGGCTGGGGTTGTGGCTCAGCGGCAGAGCGCTCGCCTAGCTCGTGCGAGGCCCTGGGTTTGATCCTCAGCACCACATAAAAATAAATAMATAAAATAAAGGTATTGTGTCCAACTCCAACTGAAAAGTAAATATTTTAAAAAAATAAAGTTCAAGTGGCTTTTTTTTTCCATGGATTTACACTGCCATTTAAAACACCCGATTACCCAAACAAAATGCACTGTGCCACTGCAGACTCTGGGCTTCAGGTGAACACGGGAGATGTGTCTTGAAACTAGGACACAAGTAGAAGCCCGGCACCGAGGGCCAGGATGGGCACGTGGGGAGTCTGGGAAGGTTGGCCTGGAGTGGGGGCCTCGCTGGCAGACTGTTTTCTAGAAATGCTTTTTTTTTTTTTTGCTTTTAAGACTAATTTTAGATTTCCTGGAGAGATGCAAGGAGAGTGCAGACCATTTCACAGGTCCAGTACCTGGTTTCACCTGTATACATTTTTATACCACTGTGGTATGTTGATACATTATTATTAACTAAAGTACATACTTTTTCTGAATTTTCTTAGTTTAAAAATATTTGGCCATATCTTTTTGATATACGTATTTAAAGAAATTTCAACTGATACATAAAACATTAAAAGTCRTACGTATTAACGGGGTACCAGGTAATGTCTGAAACCATGTATGCTTTAAGTAATGTTTGAGTCAGGTTATTTATCTCCTCACACATTTCTCATTTCTTTATGATGAACGCTTCCTAGCTTTTACCTACTGTCTTTATTTATTTGTTTATTTTTGGCACAGGGGATTGAATCCAGGGGTGCTTAACCACCAAGCCACATTCCCAGCCCTTTTTATTTTGATTTTGAGACCTACTCTCCTTTTCTATTCTGGGAATCCACCTGGGAGATCCACACCACTGAGTCCTCACATCTCCACAGGCTGCTCCTGGCTCTGACAGATTCTCAGACTCCTTGTTCTTGACGAGCCAATTTGTGAAGCCCTGGGTGGTGTTTTGTGGAATGTTCCTCAATTGGAAATTGTCTGATGTTTTCCTCATGCTTCAACTGGGACAATGAATTTTTGAGAGGAATAGCAAAGAGGGAAAGTGCCTGTCTCATCACACTGAAGAGAAGACACTGTCTACTACCATTTTAGACCAATTCTATTTCGCATTTCCAATGTGAGCGCTCAGTGCTCTTTCAAACCCCGACGCTCCATTGCTCCTTAGTGGTGGTGATGGACGCCCCTTCATGCTGACCCGGCCTCTGCCTGAAAGACTGGGTCTGAGGGATGGAGGGTGGCAGGAGGCAGGGGTCCTATGGTTGGAAAGAGACCAGAACAYGGTGTGTGGAAGGAGTCCCTGCTGGGGCCTCCCATCATTGAGGGAAGCAGGCTCTGGGCAGTCCTCATATAGCAYTGAGAATCCTCTTTAGGACAAAGTCTTCACCCCCACTCCCTGTATCCTGGCAGGCCCTGTGTCCTCTGTATTCCCACCAGCACCCCCTGTCTGTCCCTCCCGCCCTCTCCCAGATCCCCTCCCTGTCTTTCCCACCCTTCTTCTCACTCAGGGTGGGAGCAGGGCTGGCACTGTTGAACCCCTTGCCTCTTGCAACATGGCRGTCGGTCCACTGGCAGCCAAGGTAGGGGCTGAGGGGCGCACACTCCAGCCAGCTTGCGAGACCCTGGCCTGAGTATGTCATGAAACAATAAAAGCATTCATCCCCCAAGACCGTGTAGCCTAAAGGAGACATTTAGAGCAGCAGGGGCAGGTAAAGGGGAAAGGTAGGAAGCCTCCCCTGGGTACTCACCTCTGGCTGGAGAGAAGCTGGGACTGGTCCTGCTGGGATTCAGAGCTCTGGGGAGAGGGCTTCGCGTGATCCAGTGAATTCACTGCTGGAGAATTTACCTGTTGGTCCAAGAAGGGGTTTCACAGCGTTAGCCTGAATCTAATGGCACAGGAAGATGTTCTTGATGTCATTCTTTTTTTTTTTTTTAAGAGAGAGAGAATTTTTAAATATTTATTTTTCAGTTTTCGGTGGACACAACRTCTTTATTTTATTTTATGTGGTTCTGAAGATGGAACCCAGCGCCCCACGCCTACCAGGCTAGGGCATTACTGCTTGAGCCACATCCCAGCCCCTTGATGTCATTCTTAAGGAGGAAAGTCCAGCTATTAAAGTTATACAATGTGGGCAAAAAATAAATTGAGACATAGTTATGACCATAGTGTTGGGCATCAAAATATTATCTTCAGATGGTAGTTTTATGGGTAATTTCCTTTCTTTTTTCTTTCCTTTTTTTTAGTGTGTTATAATTATACATAATAATAGGATTCTTTGTTAAATATTTGTACAGGCACACAATATAACATCATATATTATGTTGTTGTCATATATAATTACATTGATATAACTATATAACATTGTTTATATTCTATATAAATTATATAATGATACAATTTGGTCAGTTTCTTTACCTAGGGCCTCTCCTTATGGGTCATTTTAAATTTTTTCTGCAAAGTTTCCTTTGCTTTCCAAGTTTTCCAAATTTAACATACATTATTTTTGTAGTTAGAAAGATAATGTGTAAAATGTGATCTGACAATTCTCTAGAAATCCTTCCTGGGTTTGCTTCTCCTTGTCTTCAAGATCCTCTTTGAGCACTTCATGTAGGGAACAGCTTTGGAGTTCATGGGTGAGCAAGGCTCAAAGCCCAGCTRAGCCAAGGCCGAACGCCCCAGGATCCACCCAGAACCCCGGGGCATGGAAAGCTTTTGAGAAGGCGCTGCAAGGCCACCGCAAGGAGGTTCCTGCTGACCTCCCATCTTCCTGGGAGTTGCCACAGAACAGATTCTTGTCACCTCCCTTGTTCTGATAAGGTCTGGGCCTTGTGCCTCCGCCCACTCAGGATAGTGACAGTATAGGCTGTAAAACTGCTCAGCTGCAGCAGAGAATGGGCTCTCCTGCAACAGGGTGTCCCACCGCCCCGCTGCCATCACCTGGCATTGTCTCATGTTGTAGACTATGGGGACAGGGGACAAGTGGAGCTGAAATTCTTGGCTACTCTGCTCTCATTGTCCATGTAAGCAGTAACCTATCTGAATCCAGCCTTGCCTGGACACTTCCTGAGTCACACTGGATGACCTCATCCACTGTTCAGTGGCTCAGCTCTCCTGGGTCTCAGCTGGGGCCGAAGAACGMACTCACGCTGAACTCACTAGGAAGGCTCAGACCTGGAGTCACAGACAGAACCCAGGGCGCTATGGATGGTCGGGCATCAGTTATGCCTTTATTTTCTCTAACTTCTACTGGAAATTAACAAATATAGATTAATAAGCCACAGTAGTGTTCGCAGGGCCTGTGACATTGCCGCCAAGAAATCACACATATTCTCCTATCATCATAGTTGGCTCAGAAATATAGTGTTCACGATGACTTTGAAGTTATGGCAAATATTGATGACATTTTATCGATAATAAGACACCTAGATCTTATCAATACATTTAAACGTGCCGTACATATTGTTATACTTTGCTCTTAGACTATTCTGATACCTATATTTCAATCTAATTTTCTTTGTTCTCCTGTGAATTTAATTCTGTGCACCTATTCTTCTGTATTGTCCTATCACATGGCCACTAGGTAGCAAGCTGGTTATTGCTCGGCTCTGTGTCCTTGGGCAAATATCTTYCCTGGCTCTCCAGCTCCTTGTTCTTAAAATGAAGGGAACAGCCTGGGAGGCAATCGTGAAGGGTTCCCCAGCCACAAGAGTGGTGTGACAATGTGCACTTTGTCACTTCTGTGGTACCACAGCTGAGGAGTTATCAGAGGACAGCTGAAACCAGGATTTACACTGACATTTCTAGTGAATTATTTCAGCCTTTATGATATGACAGAGCCCTCAAGGAACGGAAATAGGAAATATGCAAAAATTAATCTGCAGATATATTTTGAGGGAAAGACTAGGAACAACCTTAACAGTCAAGAACAGATGGGTTAAATAAATCAAAATATATTAAAATGTATTCATAAGATGGAACAGTCAGATCCAGGAATTATATTGTAGCATAACAGAAAAAAGGTATTTAAACAGTTAAGTCAAGAAAAAAAGATATTTGTGATATTTGAGGACCAATATGACTATATTTTTTAAAAAATATATTGATATATGTATATATGCAGAGAAAAAAGATAAAAGATAAAATAATATAAAACTAACATGWTAATTGGTTATATTAATTAGTTATRTTAACATTAATTGGTTATCCTTAAGGGGAGGCATTAAAGTAATCTTTACTTTTCTTTGCATTTTCTGTATTTTCTAACATTTCTGTAATTAACATGCATATATATGACTGTAATCTGAAAAACAATAAATGTAAATGTGATATCCCTGGAGTCTCTTACACAAAGCAATGGTGGCAGACCCCCTGGTTTTGGGAAGCTGCATCTCCCATCCTTGCTATCCCATGGGTCATGTGAGGCACAGGAGCAAGGAAACCATGAACCCTTGACCTTCTGTGTTCCTGGGAGTCAAGTGAACGTGTGAGACAGGGCTTAGTTYGTGAGCTGGGGGGTAAAAGTCCCTCCTTTTCCTGTCTCCTGACAGTCCCCTCCCCAGCTGCCCTGATGCGCCCTAGACCTTACCTGCAGGTGAGTGGCCTCTTCTGCCCACCAGGCTTCAAACTCTTTCTGCAGCTTCACCTTGGCTTTGTCCATGAGCAGCTGCAAGTGCTCGATCTCCACCTTCAGGGCCTTCAGGCGGGTGAACATAATTTTGTACCTGCAGTGGGATCAGGAGGAGGTGGTGTCACATTCTTTTGAAGGTCACTGAATCTCAAAAGCCTGGCAGTGCTTCCYGGTGCCTGGGGCCTGGGACCTGGGGCCAGACTGAAACCTACCAAGGCCAGGGTAGGGCACCAGGGTCTAGTCCATCATATAGAAGCAGACGGAGGCATTTCTGCCCAGCAGGGTTGGGAATCCATAATTGAGATGAAGAAACCCTTTTCAAGAGTGACAACCAACTTTTTTTCCCCCCCAGTGCTGGGAATTGAACCCAGGGCCCCCAGGATGTCAGGCAAGCACTCTACCARGGAGCTATCCCCAACCTGTGATCTACTTCTTTTATTGAGCACTTAACTAACAGGGCAGGCATTGCTGTAGGCAGCAAACATATACAAGCTCATTTAAATCCCTGGCACAGACTCAGAACCAGAGGCATGGAGAGGTCAGATAATGTGCTCAGGCAATGTGTTCTAAACACAGAACAAACAGGAAGCCAGGATTTGAACCCAGACAGTCTGGCCTAGAACCACAGTCTGCCATTCTGCTGGTTCATCTTTGTGGTAAGGAACCAAAGTTAAATATCTGTTGGGGGATATTGGGAATGCTACACCAAATCAGAAATAGTTCACTGGAAACAGTCCAATAGCCGAGCTAATGAGACAATGTGCCTTCGGAGGTGACGCTGAGATTGGAAATGTAGACTGAGGGGATAAGACTGGTGGAATAATGGGATGACATGAGAATAATGGGATTTAGAAAGAAACAGGAAAATAAACAGCAAGGCAGAAGGTGGACAACCGGGGCATAGACCAAGGGGCTGGAGAACAATGGCCGTGAGTGTGGAAGGACATTCTGGAAGAAGACAGAGTGCCCAGCTGTCAGGAGTGGCCTGGAGACCAGCGCCAGGGGCTTTGTTCTCCTGGGGTGCGTGAGTGCGGCCGTAGGTGACAGAGTTTATCAGGGTGATGTCACATCAGCCCAGTGCCGGGTGCTGGGTGGGGACGGTGATGCAATGACTCCATCATCCACTTGAGGCAGGGAAGGGGGCTTGCTCAGTCTCTCCAGACCCTCTCCAGGACAAGGAGGAGCTAGCYGACATGTTGAATGCATATAGAAATGAATGAACTAAGCTGCTTGGTTGGGGTGATGAGGGAGATTCTGTGATGGCCACATGTATGTTTATGCATGGAGATCCGTACAGTATAAATAAAATMATTCTGGGCCCCTAAGAGGCTGTGTGAAAGTGTGAAGGTGTGACTTGGGAGGGAAGCTGCAGAGACCACCATGGTCATATCTCTTGCTGCCTCTAGGTGGCAGCAGTAGACAACACTAGCGGCTTCTGGGCCAGGGGTGGCTGGTCAGCATCTAACCTCATCGCCCAAAAGCAGTACGGTTGTGGCTTCCTGCCTGTTTTGCATTTGGCTGTGGTTCCAGCCCTGGGTGCCTCCAGGTTGTCCTTAAGGCCTAAGGAGGCAGGGGTCAGGCTGTGTATGGAAAAAAAAAAAGGGCACCTTCTCTTCTCTTCCTCCAGTTGTGATCGCAGTCTGCCTTCCTGGTCCGCTGTCGAGGGAAAGGCCATGTTTTCTGAGACTTCTGTAGAAGGAAGATGTTGGTGGTTTACTCCAAGAGGAAGAAAGGCAGAAGGAAAAGCACGAGATAGAGCCCACGTGCATCCCCAGATGAAAGGGGACCCGTGCGTTCCTCTGTGGCCTCTGGATGGCAATCTCTGATCGCTTCTAGGATTGTCCTCCCTGCTGTCTGTGTCCCCCCCCCCCCCCCCCCCGTGCCCAACACCTGTCACTGGAAGGGAATTCTCTCCACCTCTACTAATCCTCTTACTATTGAGCTCAATTATTTCCTCCTGAGTCCTCAGGGAAGATGCAAAACAGAATTTCCTCATCCTCTGAGAAAGAGCCCTCCACACCCCAAGAGTCCTCTCTAAATGGTCACATCTTTCTTTGCACCAATTCTTTGCACCAATTTTCCAGCTTCAGAAGCACGTCTTCTGCTTTCCCTTCCCTCTAACACTTGGTTCTCAAGCCGGATCAGCACAGGTGATGTTCATGTGGAACCAGGGCTGAGGAGGAGCCTTGGCAATGCACCTATGGCTTTCAGCAGTGACCAGCGGGGGCTGCATTCCCTGTCCCCCATGCTGACCACCTCCTGCTCCCACGTAGTTGCCATGGCGGGCCTGGCTGCCTGTTCTGCCTGGTTGCCTGTCGACACCTGGTCCTGTCCTTGTCCAGTGTGTGGGGGCTGTTCATTCTCCTGGAAGTTTCTTTATGGTTGTGCTGTGCCTCTTAGTCCCAGAGAGGACACCTTAGAAGCCACAGCACCCTGATTTTTATTCCATGGGGGGCAGAATGAGTCCACACAGAATGGTCCCAGTGTTTTCTGGGCATGACCAGACTTAATTCTTATGGTACTTATTTAAGACACGTATTATTTCCATTTCACTGAGAAGGACATTGGGGTTCAAAGAGGTTAAACTGCCCAGGTCATGTGACCAACTTCAGGAAACTGGATCCAGGTTTGTTTTCTGGCCAGGACCTTGGATTAAAAAATTCCTTCTATGACATTTCTCACAGATGGTCATGTGATTTCTGCTCAAATACTTGCAGAGATGGGGAGCTCAGGACCTTGCAGGAGAGCATGCTCCACTGCAGACTGCGCCGTTTCTCTCACTTCAAGCTGAGACCTTCCCTACTGACTTCTTTTCACCTCTACTCTGGTTCTTTGTATCAGCACAGAATGTCCTTCTTCTTAATTTCAACAAGAACAAAATACCACCTGTGTCTCAGGCTGGCTCTGCCCGATTCATCATCAGCTGGTTACTTTCTTACTTATCTTACATAGAAAGCCTAGGCCTGACTTCACAGAAGAAATAAAAATGGCCAACAAATACATGAAAAAATGTCCAACATCCCTAGCAATYAGAGAAATGCAAATTAAAACTACACTGAGATTTCATCTCACTCCAGTCAGAATGACAATTATCAGGAATACAAGTAACAATAAAGTTGGCAAGGATGTGGGGAAAAGGCACACTCTTACATTGCTGGTGGGACTGCAAATTGGTGCCACCACTCTGGAAAGCAGTATGGAGATGCCTCAGAAAACTTGGAATGGAACCACCATTTGACCCAGCTGTTCCACTCCTCAGTTTATACCCAAAGGACTTAAAAATCAGCATTCTACAGGGACACAGCCACATCAATGTTTATAGCAGCTCAATTCACAATAACCAAGCAGTGGAACCAACCTAGGTGCCCTTCAACAGATGARTGGATAAAGCAAATGTGGTCAACAGAATATTACTCAGCCAYAAAGAAGAATTAAACTATGGCATTTGCTGGCAAATTGACGGAACTGGAGACTSTCATGCTAAGTGCAATAGGCCAKTCCCCAAAAACCAAATGCCAAATGTTCTCTCTGATATGTGGATGATAACACTCAATAAGGTAGAGGGAGGGAAGAATGGAAGTTCATTGGATTAGACAAAGGGGAAGGAAGGGAAGAGAAGGGGATGGGAATGGGAAAGACAGTGGAATGAATCAGAACTTTCTTGTGTTCATAATTMGAATAAGTTAAACTCCTTGAATGTAAACTATGTCAAAATACACTCTGCTGCCACATATCTCTAAAGAGGAGGAGGACAAGAAGCCTAGGCCTGGACATGACACTCCACGTAGGTCTGAGAGGTACAGATGAGACAAGGACTCCTCATAACTTTTAAAAATACATGCTCTATATTTCTGTGTGGATGAATCACCAACAGCGACCACGAACTGAGTGCTTTCTACTTACAGGTTCTGGCCAGTCGAACTTGGCTCTGGGCAGATCCTCTACTCAGCTTATTGCTAGTCAAAATTACCTGCTGGGACGGCGTGGCCGATCTCCTGCCRTCAGGGTCTTAGTCCAGAGAGGGCCAGAGACAACCCAGGGTCTCCCGGCTGGTAAGTGGGGAGCTGGAATTTGAACCCACTTCTCCCCTTGGTTCCAAGCGTTTGGGCCTCGGCAGGCAGGCACCCTCCCCGTCCAGCAGGTCTGTCCCGGGTGCCCCTCCTTAAAAGCTTTCATGTTCTTTGAACAGTTGTCCAAGTGCAGCCCCAATTTCCGTGTGATTGTCCTTTTGGTCCCAGCTGCAACCCTTCCTGTTTACAGGGGGTCTAGTCCCCTGAGAGGCCTCRTTCTGTCTCGCCATTATTCTCTTCCCGTTTGGCCACCGTAGTAGTGGCTAGCTGTCCCTTTTGTGTCATTGACTCATTGATAAATACACTAAATGAATCACAATCCTGTCCTTTATCTCTCAGCAACCGGCTTCCTCTTTTCTTTGTGTGAGGTGACAAGTGTCAACTGGCTCACCAAGTGTCTTATCCTGTCATCTAAGTGAAGAGATGCAGATCCCAGGGACTTCCCAGCTGAGGACTACCCTGCCATCCGCTGGCCCTGGCGAGGCAGATTGCCTGTCCCCACCACACCTGCGCCCCAAGTCCCCCRAGCTTTGTTCAGATTCCACATGCAGGGTGTGTTCAATGCCATGCACATTTGCTGGCCCTGTCCTCTTTGAAAAATCCCAGACCTGATAAGAGGAAGTGAGTACCTGCACATCAAACTAAAAGCAGCAGGACTCTAAGTGGGYGGAATGTTTCCTCTCCTGAAAGCCCAGCAATGGGCCCATCTATGGTCCAGCCTGCTGATAAAGAACTGGGAATGCTCCTTCTCCTTCTCACACCTTTTGACCTGCACCAGGGCACCCCTGAGCAATTCTGTGAAGCCCTGCTCTCTGGAGCCTGACTGCAGGTCCTGGCTGTGGGAGGGGAGTGAAGGAGGGGTCTGGATTTGCACAGGGGGCATCTCATCTGTCTGGTGGGGGCCGTCTGGGGGGCCTTGGGAAGGCAGCTTGGAAGGCTGAGGTGGACTGGTCTTCCCTGCGAAGCCTGGGGCAGCCCAACACAAAGGCAGAGCCCCCTGTGGGGGGCTCTGTGGACCCGCTGCAGGTTCCTGGGTATCTCACGGGGCTGGAAGGGCCTGGAAGGGTGTTGGGCCTGGAAGGGCGTTGGGGGGTCAGAGCCTCGGGCAAGGGCAACATTCTGATGAAGGAGTGAAAAGATAAAGTCAGCTACTGTCTTCGGAGTCGCTGGGCACCTCCCACTCATTGTCACCACTCCACAGTCAGACCTTGTCACTTCTGTTGTGCAGGCAGCAGATCAAAGCCTAGAGTGACCAGGGGGCAAGGCCACGGAGCTACCTGGTGGAAGGGCGGGGCTTTGGACCCAGCCCRGCCATGCATGCACTATTGCACAACTGTTTATTGAGTGTCAACCACATGCCTGTCCCTGTCCAGGATTCTGGAGGGGAGGAAGGACTCAGACCAAGAAAAAAATTGAGTCTATGATATGATGCGGCAGGTGAAGGGTGCTATGAGGAAAGACAAAGCTGGATAAGAACATTCAGGTCAGGCCCGGCGGCCATGCTRGGTAAGGGGGCCGAAGAGCCCTTCTGAGGAGGACATCAGAGAGAGGGACATGCATGAAGAGTGGGACCAGCACACAAAAAYTAGGGACAGCCTACAGCAGCGAGTGCAAGAGGCCTGGGGTGCAGGCCTTGGAGGTGCAGACCAGCGATGGAGAGAGCGGGAGCTGAGGTCAGCGAGGAGACGCGGCCAGACCTCAAGGACCCAGTGGGCTGGGCTGAGGCCTGCGGCTCTGAAAGAGATGACAGGCGCAGGGTCCTGGGGAGAAGAAAGGGTGGATCTATTCCTTTAGAGCTAAGTCAGGCAGCTTTTTGCTGCTCCAGACAAAGCCACTCCAAACTGAAGAATAGCTAATGCCGTGTGGCGCCAGGATGTGGAGCCCTGTTGAAAGGACYGGGGAGAGAAGGCTGGGGCAGGGGACCCTGGGAACCAGAATGAGGGCACAGTGTACCCCCGAGACACAAGCTACCCATGTTGCCAGGACGACCAAGTGGGCCTGTGGCCAAAGGTGATGTTTGCTTAGTGAAGGGCATTGTCAGCCCCGGGAGCCAGCCCTGGCTGCTTCTGATGTTCTTTGTGGCTGGGCTTCAGTCCTCTCTGAAGAGGAATAGGGCTGGGAACTCAGGGAGGCAGACAGAAGCTACTGAGCAAGAACAGAGGGCAGAGCTGCTAAAGGGCATTTGGGCTTTGTAGGTCTCTGTCCCCTCGGGACACACCTGGGACAGAACCTCCAGTCACCTGGCAGGAGGCACAGGGAGCCCTCCTTTCAAGGACAGGATTCTGGCTGGGACAGCAGCACCAGAGGCCACAGTCCTGYGTGGTCCACAAGGTCACACTGCTAGTCTGTGGGGGCATCGGCTCCARAGTGACACAAAAGCCAGAAGAAAGGGTTCTGTTGGATGCTGGTGGCTGTAGATCTGAATGTCACCTAAGGGGGAAGCCCTGAGCAGTCAGGGTAACTGACACTCCAAGCCGGCAGGAAGCAGGGGGGTGGGGAYGCACAGTCCCAGGCTGACCTCATCTCTGGTCTCAGGTGTTTGGGAACTGGCAAGTCAAGGACAAGAGGGGCTCTTGCTGAGAAGGCCCCCTCCCATGGACACAATCCCAGCTGGAAGGC